AACAAAGGATTTATAGAAATGTTGGCCAACTGAAAAGTATGAACATGAAAAGTATGAGCATGTACAGCACTCAGTATTTAGTTGGGCCTCCTTTGGCCTGTATTACTGCAGCAATGCGGCGTGGCATGGAGTCGATCAGTCTGTGGCACTGCTCAGGTGTTATGATAGCCCAGGTTGCTCTAATAGTGGCTTTTAGCTCTTCTGAATTGTTGGGTCTGGTGTATTGCATCTTCTTCTTCACAATACCCCATAGATTTTCTATGGGGTTAAGGTCAGGAGAGTTTGCTGGCCAATTAAGAACAGGGATACCATGGTCCTTCAACCAGGTACTGGTAGCTTTGGCACTGTGTGCAGGTGCCAAGTCCTGTTGGAAAATGAAATCTGCATCTCCAAAAAGTTGGTCAGCTGCAGGAAGCATGAAGTGCTCTAAAACTTCCTGGTATGTGGCTGCGTTGACCCTGGACCTCAGAAAACACAATGGACCAACACCAGCAGATGACATGGCACCCCAAACCATCACTGACTGTGGAAACTTTACACTGGACTTCAAGCAACGTGGATGAAGTGCCTCTTTTCTTTTCCTCCAGACTCTGGGACCTTGATTTCAAAAGGAAATGCAAAATTTACTTTCATCAGAGAACATGACTTTGGACCACTCACCAGCAGTCCAGTCCTGTTTCTCTTTAGCCCAGGCAAGACGCTTCTGACGCTGTCTGTGGTTCAAGAGTGGCTTGACACAAGGAATGCGACAGCAGAAACCCATGTCTTTCATACGTCTGTGTGTGGTGGTTCTTGAAGCACTCACTCCAGCTGCAGTCCACTCTTTGTGAATCTCCCCCACATTTTTGAATGGGTTTTGTTTCACAATCCTCTCCAGGGTGCGGTTATCTCTCTTGCTTGTACACTTTTTTCGACCACATCTTTTCCTTCCCTTCGCCTCTCTATTAATGTGCTTGGACACTGAGCTCTGTGAACAGCCAGCCTCTTTAGCGATGACCTTTTGTGTCTTGCCCTCCTTGTGCAAGGTGTCGATGGTCGTCTTTTGGACAACTGTCAAGTCAGCAGTCTTCCGCATGATTGTGTAGCCTATAGAACTAGACTGAAAGACCATTTAAAGGCTTTTGCAGGTGGTTTGAGTTAATTAGCTGATTAGAGTGTGGCACCAGGGGCCATCAATTTTGAACCTTTTCACAATATTCTAATTTTCTGATATGATGAATTTGAGATTTTCATTTGTTGTCATTTGTAATCATCAAAATTAAACAAAATAAACATCTGAAATATATGAGTTTGTATGTAATGTATGAATATAATATACAAGTTTCACTTTTTAAATGGAATTACTGAAATCAATCTACTTTTTCATGATATTCTAATTTTATGACCAGCACCTGTATTTTTAAAACTTTGTTCTCGGTGTCAATTAGGAAAAAAGAAATAGGAACAAAAGTATGTTGCTGAATTGTTTACTGTCTGAAGTTTTGTATTATATCTGGTGATTCCTTATTCTTTCCAGTAGTTTTAAATGATATTCTTGAATAACAGAACTTCAGAGTCCAGTGATGGTGCAAAACTAGATCAGCTTCTCTCTGATCCCCTTCTCTGTGTAGCTCAAATCCACAGCTGTTTAGTCTTATGTAACATCATTAGAATGTCTTTATTATGTTTTCATTGCACAGCCTGAAAAGGTTTTAATCTGCAGATAGTAGGGATTTTAAATAGGGATGTCATCTTTACCACCCTATAAGTTTATGCCTAATCTTTTTCACAGTTTAAGGGCTGTCTAGTTAAAGTAGAGGGGATTTGAAATGGTTTTGAAGGAGGAGTAGTATCTGGTAACAATACAGAATGTATTTAATGATTTGGAGGAAATATATTAAGGCGCAAAATGTAAAAGAGCATTTTAGGTTATACCAACGGCAATCAGCAAATACACTTGGAAGCTTTATAATCTTTTTTAGATTATGGGGACTAAATTAAGATTAGCAGTTGTCTGTATTTTATTTTCAAAATATACAAACAAAATGTTACTTCCCAAACTACACCAAAATTACATGCCTTGCATAGACTCTGTACTTTAAAAGCACTGTTTTACTGCAGTCTAACCCCTGAAAGCTACCAGCCACCAACTAATGTCATTCATCATTGCATCAGTGTAAGACCTGATGGTGATGGACATTTTCCTGTCAGAAGTTCTTAAAAGATTGCAGAAGCTATGTGCACAAAATTATGATGATTCATGTTATCCAAGATTCAATGAAAAAATTGTTTCTAAAACAATTTACATTGAGTTTTGTGGATATAAAGAAACTAACAATTTTGATTACTTTTGACTTTCACTTACTTCTTAGGTTTAAGAACACTGACTTTGTCTAAGGACAGTTTTAAACTAGGAGATTAAAGCATTAGGGTTTGGGCTTAAATGTTTCCAAAGATTCAAAATATCTCCATGAATAACATTTGTGCAGAAAGGACAGAGTTTACCATGAGAACACCGTACCTTATAAGTGCTCATAAAAATAGTCTCAAAAACAGAAACCTGGAGAATATCATTTGAAACTGACATTAGAGGACTAAGAATTGTTTTTGGTATTATTGCTCTGAAACCACAGGTAACTGCTGTCTGAGGCACACGAGGATAAAAGTTGCTTTAAATGTGTTTAAGTGTCTCTTAACTTCTTCTCAGATCCGTTAAACTATGCATCTCTGCCCTTCAAAGTATGGGGGCTCTTTAAGGATATAAATGTAACATGCATGACTTTCAGAGGATGTGTTAGAAGGAGTAAAGGCTGTTTGCACAGAGTTGGCCTTGTGTAGAAAGCCTGTTTCCTCTCTGGAGCAAATGGATTGCTGAATTTTCCGGGCAAACCTGCCTGGACACTTCCTTAGTAGGCGTCCTTGTGATCACTACAATAACTGGACTCACTGAGGCTCTATTGTCACGTCAGCTTTCTTACAATGACCACAGCCAAGTGAGCGCTGTGTTTGTCATTTGTTTCCATATTAGACAGAAAGGGTGCAGTGTATGAAATTAAGAGCACATTTTAAATACCTTTCCAGATATGGTTGTGGTATTTGATAAGTTTGGACCTTAAAAAATTGCTCATAATGGTGCTGAGCCAGTGATCTTGTTGAGGTGTGTTCCTCATCTTTTTCCAGGCCTGCTATTAACCATTTCACTAGGACTTCCTTAGTTTGCTGATGCTGCTTGCCTTGCATTAGTACCCTCTTTTATTCTTTCCTCTTGGGCTTGGGTGTTTGTTGGATGTCATCTTTTATGCTTTGTCCTCTAGGGCTTTCCAGATGACATTGCTCCACCTTTCCCCAGTTTCCGGAATCCTTTATTTTCCTGTTTTCATGCTGCGGTAAACCAGTTTTTATGACCTTCTCTTAAAATACCTCGCTCAACACTGCAAGAGATCTTAGACATCCTCCTTCACTAGAAAACCTTTTAGATGTTTTCTGTCAGTAAGCAGCCAAAAATTTGACAGCAGGGACAATAATGATTACATGTGTCGGTGAGTTGGAGTGGCTGACGGTAATTACAGTATGCAGAAGGCTGCTAATCTTAAAAACTCTGAATGACAAGTGTTACATGTATTCCTATCATGTTTGTCCAGAACAGCCTGGCTGCAAGCAATGCTGTTGCAACACCTCCTTTATTTTATTTTTATAAAAGGATCCTAAAAAATATATTTTGCCGTTTGATTTTTAGGACTTGTTTAAATAAATGGTAAATAATAAGGAAAAATCACACCAAGCTAAAGAATCCTTCTTAACAAAACAAGTGTGTGAAGGGGGACATTGTGTATAATGAGCAGGGCATGTGTGTTTGCCCTGCCTTCTTACTTGTTTATCCACTGACCTGACTTCAGCTCTGTGACTGGAATATGCTGCATTTATGTAGGTCACAGGTCAGTGGAATTTAACTGTGGATTTAATGCCAAAATATTAGAGCTTGTTGTTGTGGATTTATTTTTAAAGTTCATAACATGTTAACTACAGTGATCTAAAAGCATTTGTCTTAAAAATGTTTGTTTTAACTAGTAATCTGTGTACAACCTCCAACTTGCCTATTGGAAATTATATAATATGTCTGGAAAAGGACAAACTAAAACGGTTAAAGCTACAGTGTATAATAATTAAAGGTATGTACTCACAGATATACACATTATAGATAAGTAGGTAATTTTCATCTAAAAAATGAAAGTCCCAATCTTTGATTTAATTGCCTTAGAAATTGCTATTTATAATTACATGGGAGCAGGTTTCACATTTTTGGAGCCATACATCTTTGTGCTATGGAGGCACAGAGCTGACAAACTAGTGACTATAGAGGTAATTATTACGCTCAAATGTGACTGTAGCAAGTTAGGCATATATCAAATCTTTTCTCATCTTGCTCATCTAGCATTGAATGTAACCGTTATCTGCATTACAGCAACAGCTTTGCTACTGCAAGATTTGGTGATATCATACAAACCTAACATGGCCGTCTTTCTGAACTTACTGGATGGCAAATTATTAAAGAGGCTGCCATTAAAATCCATGCTAACAGCTTGGAGCATCATGTGGAGGAAGCTATGAGTTCAACATTCCACAAATCCACACAAATTTCTGTTCACACACTTTTTGAACTGTTTTGCATTGAATTTATGACATATGTTTTAGTTAATATCTTTATAAATTTCTCTTGGAGATATTGAATCATTAGGCTTTAAGCGATCAATTGGTTCATTTGAAGCTAAGTTTTAGACTTAAGGCAGATTTTCTATACATAAACTTTAATATGCCACCAAAGGTCATGTCAACTGAAGTGATGCACAGGCTGACCAACGAAAGGGCATAGATGTTGTCTGGCATTGACATAGTCCAGATTCCAGTTGGAAATTTTGCTTATGCTTGATGCCTAGTCCATAATGTGTCTCTGTTTTAACAGGACCCAGCAGCTTACCAGCACACCATGTGACTATTGTCCTTTGTTTTCATATTTCTCCCAGATGCTCCCCATATCGAAAACCCTCCATCATATGGCTATGACCTGGAGCATTCAGAGGAGAACCAGCCTGACTGTGGGGCTCTGTCGTTGACCGGGTCTCCTTCCTCCTCTCCACAGCTCCACTCCAAGAACAGGAACAGCAGATTGATGCATTCTTCAGGTTCTCTCGATTCCACACAGTCGGTAAAGGACAACTCTGACACGTTACACGTCAGTTCTGCCGCTGCAGCCTTCTCCAGTATATTCTGTCCAAACTCTGTGCACACCATGCTTTATCTGTAGTTCCTCCTTTCGTGTTGTGTCGTGTTTTTCTGCTATGTTAAGTTAAACAAAAACAAGGAAACATGTTTTTTTCATCTTATTGTAGGTAATTAGTGTTCTTTTTCTTTAACAGCATAACATGTCATATAATTTAGTGTGTTTTGTTTGGACTATGACTACTTATACCCTTTGTCTTGTGTAGCAAAAAATAATTGAATTTAGCTCCTCAAAAAGCTGTTTTTATGAGCTTGAATACAGTTACTGAGGGGGGCTGAACGGCATGATAAAAAAGTTCTGCAAACACAAGAGTTTACACTTGTAAACTCAAAAATTAGACAAGAAACACAAAATTGCAAAGAAAAAAAGCTGCTAAAGAGAAGTCAGTCAGAAAATTTAATTAAATTCAGGTAATTTATATAGCTCTAATTCACAACACATCAAGATACTTTACAGAGACAATTCTTCTTGAACCTCAGTCCGCCTTTGCAGAAGGTCACTCAGACTGAGCATGATTCTGCTGGAGTTTTCTTCCTGTTAAAAGGGAGTTTTTCACACAAGCGACATTGGTGTGAGGGATTGCTGAAGAGTCAACAACAAAATGAGAGTGATGATCATCACCGCTTATCCAGGAGGAGCATGTATTGCAAGTCAGTGACTGGATGTAATCAACTGGTTTTCCTTCACAGAATCTTATATCCAATTTTAATGTGTTGTCTCCTATAAAGTGCTTTAAAATGGAGTGTTTTGAATTGGCGCTATATGAATAAACTGAATTGAATTGAAGCACTTTTTCACAGTGGTAGTGATAACGTGGCTTTCCTTCACTTACAGTGTTTGTCAAGCCAACAACTTCTTCAAACTGTGTAATTTCAGTCCATCAAAGTTCTCAAACATTTTGATTATAATACAAAACTTTGCCATTTGCATTTTAATGCAAAACACAAAAAGATAAAAAAAAACACGTTATATTTTTTCCATTTTATAAACACACTATGTGTTTACAAAATGAATAAAAAAAATTTGCCACATATCCTGCTGTTGCACCCATAGGTTACCAATTAAATACAGTGCAGCTTCCAGATGGCAAATGCTTTTCATTGTGAGGCAGGGTGTTGGTGAAAAGACCATGCATACTTTGGTTAACCAGGTGTTAAAAAGATTTTAACATCCCTTCTCCTTTTTGTTCCGTTCTTCTATGTGTGGTAGTCTCATCTGTGATTTTCAAAGCCCTTATCGGGGTGGAGGTGCATGGGTTCAGCTAACACACTGCTTCTTTTTCTTGCAGAGCAGAGTTTGATGATGCTCAGTTGTTTGTTCCACTAATCGTTTTTTACTGACATATGTCCCTACTTCAGTGGCTAATATCTTTGACCAGTTTAAAACAACTTCTTGGTGAGAGGGAAAATTTACTTTTTTTAAATGGCAACCAATGTCTGGTGCAGGCCTCTTGGAATGTAAAACTCCTGCAGAGTGTAAACAAGCTTCAGGTTTGTTATCTGTAGCCATCTTGGTTAAAGAAAATGCAACCTTTTACATCTTCTAACAGGTTTCTTTTGTCCCTGATCCCATGTCGAATCAGGTGGAGCTGGAACAGGAAAAGAGGCAGGAGATGAGGAAATGGGTTCTGTCTGGGATCCTGGCCAGTGAGGAAACCTACCTCAACCACCTGGAAGCCCTGCTGATTGTATGTAAAAATACTTTATGCTTAAATGTCCAAATAAAATGTGTTGTTGATATTAAAAATAAACCAAAAAATTGTTGGGTCAAATTTTAGCTTGATTGACCATACGCTCAGAAATCATTTTGCTATCTGTCATAAATCTTTGTAGAAATCTTTGAGAAATAATGCTTTTTGGTCCGTCTTTTCATTGTTTTTAAACACACCAAAGAGTCTTGCAATATTCCAACTGTCTCCTACCATTTGCAACCAAAAATACATCTGCTCAGGTAAGATTTATATCAGTTCAATTGCCAAAAAACAACTTTTTAGAGAAAGTTTAAGATGTATATTTTCTAAGCGATAAGGCCTTTGTTTTAACTACCTTATAAGCTTGGAACTCAACGCTACTCGCGGCATTTTGAATTGAGAAAGCTTTCAGGATTGTTAGCAAAATGTCTTCAAACCTGGAAAACAAAGTCCAGCGGTTTTATTTTTTTTTTTACTTTTATGGAATGACTCTGACCTGGATGACTGAGAATCTTCATCAGCATATTGCACTCCATTTTGGATGAGTACGAGAAATTACTCAGGACATTTGCAAATTATATGAACAACCTTTGGTTCCGGTTCAATTTGCATGTTTTCTTAGCTATATCAAGGCCTTTGTTTGGGCCGCCCTATAAGCTCGGAATTCAACACTCGGCCAAGCAACTCACATTAAAATGCCTCAGCTCTGATTGGTATGCTGCGAGAACACCAGAGCCGGTGTTCTGTCAGATCAGCATACCCATAGTCAAAACCTGTTTATCCCTTTGGTTTATCCCTTTACTTTATCCCCGTTTATCCCTATAGTTTATCCTTTTAGTTTTGTACGTAAAATACACTTTAACTTTAAACTTAACTTTAAAGAATTTTTTAATGTAATTGGTTCCTAGTCAGCAAAGAATAATCATTGGATCATTATCTATACCTAAACCTAATACGTTTGCAGTGATTTAATGAATTCAGCGTTAACAAGTAAAAAGATAAAAATAAAATTTTTTGATGCGATCACCGAGTCCGAGACCGGCCATTTTTGCCCACATATAGTAACACCTCCCTCCTGACATATTCCTGCAGTGACATCAAGGTACGATAAGCCGAGCGCCATTCTCTCTGCTTTACAAGCAAAATCAATGGAAACTATGATACACATCTGCAATCAACAAAGATGTTTAAAGATTTCGAGAGGACTTCACCGTTGAAATTTGCAAGAGTAATAGTTAAACTGACAATGCCCAAGTGACGTGCTTGGCAATTGAATGTTGTAATACATCAGGTAAAAGTGGAAAATAATTCGTTTTTTCACCTTTCGCCTTTCACCTCGACAAAAAAACAGCACTATTCAGATTCAGCCCTTTTCAAAAAATCTATTATTTTGTCCAGTAGGTCTACTTCACTTCTGTAAACACAGTTTGAAATTATTAATAGACTTATTTACACTGTCTGTTTTGAACTAATTGTGTTTTCTTCTTAGCCTATGAAGCCTCTAAAGGCTGCAGCCACTACTTCCCAGCCGATGCTGACCATCCAGCAGATAGAGACAATCTTCTTCAAAGTTCCAGAGCTCCATCAGATCCACAAGGATTTCTACAATGCTCTGCTGCCCCGAGTCCAAGACTGGAGCTACCAGCAGTGTGTAGGCGACCTCTTCCAAAAGCTGGTACACAGGTTTTTATTTCCATCCTGATCCTTGGAAGTTATGCACCTCTGTAATTTATTTTTTACTTTTTATTGTTGACATAAATCCATAGATGCACTAGTCAAATATTAATAATTTTGGTGGTCACACTATTAAAGAATGGAACTATTCAGTCTATTTTCTTTCCATCGGCTGTAAGAGACAGGATGCTGGTGCGACGGGATGCCAAACAGCACCTAGCATTGTTTTCAGACTGGAGGAAGTTAAAGGATGAGTTGCAGCGTCCCTGTGCCTAGTCGGGAGAATCTGTAGCATTAGCCTGTCTAATGATTGATGAAGTCTCCCGGAAGTTCCGGGAGACTTGGGATGTCTGTAAGGCTATCCTGCTTTTAACTTAGTGTTACAAAAACGTCATTTTCTAATAGCTGTTTTATTTTTCTAAAATCTCTAAGAAAGTTTCATTTGTCCTTCCCTTCCATCAGATCTTAATAAAAAGAACAAAAATAAGCTGAGACTTTTATTTATTACCTTGGTGAATGGCAGAGCTCAGTCTGTCTTAGAACGCAGTGCTTTCCTTCAAGACAGACAATGATTAACAACTTTCGGCTACTTTAGATTGCATGAAATGTAAAATAATAGCCAATATAGTAGCTTGTGAGTCCAAAAGAGATTGATGCAATACAGTGGAGTTGCCATATGATGACGTCATAAGAAGGGGCAGGGCCCTAAGTAGGTCTGACCACCAGTGCAGATCTGGTAGCTCCACCGCAACGTACAATGTTTAAACAGCCATTGCATTTAATTGTGAAGCTCCATCACCGTCAACAATGCAGGAAAAAACTGAAACATCTGATGAAAACTGGAGAACTTTTAGAGAGGGAGCAGGAGGACAAAAGGAGCAGTAGGAATCATTCTGCAGTCATTCCAGAAAAGTTTAACTTCTGCTAGAAAACATGAGCACTATCAACAGAAATCCAAATTTCTGTTGATAGCGGGGGAGTGTTGGCCTAGTGGTCAGAGCAGTGCATTTGTGCTCTGAGAAGGTTGCAAGTACCCGGTTCGATCCCCACAGCCTGCACTCTTGGTCCCTTATCAAGACCCTTAACCCCTGATTGCTCCCCAGGCGCCACACAATGGCAGCCCACTGCTCCCCAAAGGGAATGGGGTTACGTAAATGCAAAGGTAAATTTCTAACATTTATGTATTATTATCCAATTTTTCAAGTTTACATCACTTTATTTCATCACAGTGTTTTTATCACTGCTGCTTACCTGCACTTTAAAAAATAAAATAGTATAGAGAGCTGTACTTAACCAAATGTATTTTTGTTTACACCTGGTGTTCAAAAGGACAAAATAAAATCTGTCTAAGTCAATGTGTAATCAATAAAGTTCAATTATTATTAAATCTAGGTACTGAATCACAATTTAAAATAAGTGGATCAGATTCCTGCAAAAATCTTGGCTTAACCAAGTTTTTGTTAGCAGCATAAACAGACTCTTTGTACACAAAAAAAATAGTTGTAACGCATTTTTTCTTAGGGGTGATAGAATCCTAGAGATAGAGCAACATGTCCGAACAGAACCCAGACATGCAAAACTTGATATTCCACTTATTTTGATTCAACCTGAAGGAAGATGGGAATAATGCTTTAAACCACAAATAAGAAGGTGTAAACAAGAATATGTTTGACTAGTATGTGTAAAATGTTAAATTTTTTTATTACAATGATCAATTTTAATCAATATTAACATGATCATTGTTTACTTACAACAGGAGTTATATAACAAACTAAAACATTCTGGTTTGTTCTGTGAGTAAAAACAACAACTTCCTATAACACCACATAGCGTTTTGACTTTTTATCAAAGAGACCAGTATTTAGCTTGTGTCTAACTTTGAAAAACTAATTTGTTTAAATGCCTTTCCTTGATTGGTAAAGATTTTTTAAAGAGTAAAGACCTGCAGAGTGGGAAGCTGATAGTTTCTGGCTCTAATTTCAAAGCTTAAGGGATCTTGGTGGACCTCACATCTGAGTAGACTGCCTGAAGGTGTCTCCTGGCCAGATAAAAGAGTCGCTTCACCACATTATAGGTAGTTAAGTATTGCAGAAGGCTCCATAGGAGGTGGATGCTTACAAAGTAACTTCAGTTTTCACTGTTGAAGGCAAAAGATTAAAGACACATGCGTAAAGAGGTTTAAAAATAGAAGGTAATGCTGAATCACAATCTGCTGTATCAGCTGGATGACTGTATTTTTGATTGTGGCATGCTGAAGAGATAAAGCAGCAATCCCTGAAATCTATTCTCTCCTGGAGTGAGTCTAATCTGAGCCGCCTCTGTTCACTACAGGCCAGCGAGCTTGGAGTGTATCGGGCTTTCGTAGACAACTATAAGGTTGCTGTGGAGACGGCAGACAAGTGCTGCCAGGCCAACTCTCAGTTTGCACAGATATCTGAGGTATGTTGTCATGCTACACACGGCAGGGAGGTTTAGTGGTGGACTACCTGAGAGTAGTGATGAAAGGGCAGTTCTTTGTTGTCCTCACTTTCACAGCTCTTAATTAATGAAGGTATTTTGTTCCTTTTGTCTTTTTTTTTCATTCTGTCTCTGTCAGAATCTCAAAGTAAAAAGCACAAAGGAATGCAAAGAACAGTCAGCTAAAAATTCTCTGGAAAGTGAGTATTGGGTCTGTCCAACTGCCAGCCTTCAGTAGTATATTTTATAGGGTGATGACTCCAGTTGAGCAACTCTTCTTCCTCCACAGCTCTACTCTATAAGCCTGTGGATAGGGTGACACGCAGCACCCTAGTCCTTCATGTAAGTCTGTTATCTGGTGTCACAACCTTCTGTCATGGTGAACCACTTTTGAAAACAAATTTATGATTATTCTGTTTTCCTTTTTAGGACCTTCTGAAGCACACACCCTCCAGCCATCCAGACTTTCCATTGTTGCAGGACGCCCTGCGAATCTCCCAGAACTTTTTGTCCAGCATTAATGAAGAGATCACACCACGCAGACAGTCAATGACTGTTAAAAAGGGAGAGGTGAGTTTGACAATCTGTTCTTGGTCTCAGGATTGCATTGTTAATTCAGTGATCTGATTTATGTAAATTAGGGTATTAAGTTAGTGAAAAAATTCATTTTTTTTTTTTATTCAGAAAAGCAACAACCTACATCATTTACAGAAAGCCAAACTAAAACAAGTGGACAGAATATTATATTGATATGTTAAGTCTACTTGATTTAAAATGATCAAAAAATGAAATTTCAGCTAGGCAAAATAATTTCATCTTCATCATAAAAAAGTGTAATTTTAGTTAAGAATCAAGCTAGAAATATTAGGGTTAAAATCTTTCTGAAGCCGGGCATACGCTGTACGATTCGCCAGTCGTGCAAGATTGATTTGATCAGGCCAACTGTCAGCCTCATCGCGCGTCATGTAGTGTACAGGGGGTAACAAGGGGCAATCAGCCGCTCATGGCTACCTCCCGATCGGGAATCGTAAGGTCGGAAGAAAATCAAACATGTTTGAAATTCATATGGTCAACGTAAGTTAGTCATGGGCAAATAACTCAGTGGGCATGCACAAAAAAGGATTCTTTTTCTTCCTCTCAGAAGGCGTAAGTGAAAAGGAGCTTTTTCTGTAAAACTGACAGATCATAGTAGCCACATTTCCTCAGCCATGTCTTTGCCCAAATACGTCGCCGTCTTTTCTTTTTAGGGCTTTCAACCCACAAAATTGCACAAATTGTCAAGGCAGTGCATTGTACTCTTGTAAGCTTCATATTCCTCTTCTACTTGTTTGGCTTACGGATAGACAAGTCCGAGTAATGCCATCTCACTGCGGAGCTGAGTCCGACGTGGTTTTTAGACGCACAGTGACCGGTAGATCGCATCTGGGCGCACAGTGTGAGAACAAACATCATAAGCTATTAACTTATACTGTAAGACAAAACCCTGCGGTTTCGACGTACAGTGGGAGCCGTAGCTGCGGGCAAGAATTGAAAATATGGCACAGTGTGTCTGGCTTCAAGTCAACAATTCCTGTTGGTCCGGTCTTAATTTGACTTAATCTAGCAAAGATAGACAACAAATCCTTGTCAGAAACTGCTGAGTTTTTCCAGTTAAAGCCTGGTTAGATGGACAGTTTTTGCATTGTGTTACTGATTGGTCCCTATGACCTGTTTAATCATTCACCTTTACAATTTACAATTTAACAAGTATTTCACAATTATATCCGCCTTTAGGCTTCAGCTGTATTAAGGTACGTCAACATTTTCCAGCTGATAGCTATGGATTTCTTGCTTACAATATATTTTTATACTTTTTAAACTTGTTGTTTATTATTTTTGTTCTATGCCCCACATGAAAAACACCAGCCCATGAACTGCCACTGTCTCGTATCGATGCGTCTCTAATATTTGTTGCAAATATTTGTGGTCTTAAAAAAAGTTATATTGGGCTAAAGAGAGTGTTTGTTCTTTGAGTTTTATGTTTATAACTATGAATTATAACAGTAAGAATCCAGTCTGAATGTTGGTGGCTGGTCTGGAATGGGCATAATTATTCATATTAAATAAGATAAACTGTGTTTAAGCTTTTGTAAGATGTTGGCATCAGCCTCTAAGCCTTAAACATACATTCTAAAGTGGGATAAGAATTCTATAGGATTCTACATTTTTGTTAAAGGGAAAAATAGATGTTGGAAGATAAAATCCTTAAAGATGAATAACGGAAAAGTAAACCTTATGGGTAAAAAGTATTACTATTCAATATTTAGCAAGTTAAATGGCTGTGCTTTATGTGTATGGTTTATGAAGGCAGAGATGCTAAGCAGGCCTCCTCAAAGTCAGTCCTGAAACTCTGCCTGCTTCTGAGAAAATGTTAAACATGGATGCAGCTATAAAGATGCTGGGTTTGCTCCAGAGAAAATGTATTGAACAGGTTACTGTTTAGGTAGCACACGCATATCATGAATTTCTTTGACAGAATTCAAATGAGAGATTTTAATCTAGATTAATCTAGATTACTTCCAAGATTACAATTACATTAATCTAGATGATACGTAATCTAGATTAAATACCACACTGGAATGTTAGAAGCTTCAAGGAGGAGATGGTGTCAAGCGTTAATGAAAAAAAGTTTTTTATATAGGTTTCTACATCTTCCCACTTTGTGTTTTTAATTTTTTCCACAACTTTTTTCACTTCTTTTAAAAGTGATTATTTGTTTACAAGCTGTAAATGAAACTGAAATCGCTTTGTACTATATTGTTGCACATTTTTCTGATTTTCCTTTATGATTATTTAATGTTTAATGTTAATTTATCCTTATTACATTTATGCTACTATGGGTAATTTAAACTTTATGATAGCTAAAAATACTAAAAATCCCTCCCATTTGGGTCTAATAACAATTTGATGATTGTTAATTAAATTTATGTGCTATTAGTTTACTCTTTCGGTGGTGGAACGGCAAAAACGTCTCCCTCTGTTTCTGCAATTCCCATGCCTTCCACTAAGGCTGGAAGCTCACATAAAGTCCTCCGAGCAACTCTTAATATTATTATATTGTTGGAACTGGGGCTGGGTATTGTTCAAAAATTTTCGGTTCCGGTACCAATACCGATACCTTCACTTCGATACCGGTTCCTGAATTATACTTTTTTTCGATACCAGTTTTATAATATCAATTCGAAGAAAAAGAAAATTACACAACATAAAAAAGTACAAATCTTGAGTTTTATTTTAAGCTGGGATTTTTCCATTTACATTTTTCCTCTTACATTTAAAAAAAAATTCAGTGTCTAATATTCACTGTTACATTGTGAGGACCTTTTTACTTAGCAGTTTTCCTTTAGAAAAATTACCATGTCTGACAAACAAGCCCGTTGAATGGGATCCTACTGACGTATGTGGGGGTCTGAGCGGCTCAGATAGAAATAATATTGGAAGGCTGGATAAACTGACTGCACTGATTAAGTTTTCAGGTGGATTTTCCCACTTAAAAACATTAAAACTGCTTTATTCCCACTGATCACAGCAAATATAGCTGCAAGGCAAATAAAGGATAGAGTAGCTCCGCCCAACGCGCGTCAGACACTTTTCGACCGCGCAGCCAGAGCAGCAAAACCTCTTCAGCCGCGCGTCAGAAGCTGGTACAAGCAGCAAAAAAGGAAGCAGCAGACGTGATTTTGCTGCTCCTGCTGCGTCCAGTTTGAAAGCAGCATGATTCACTCCGCTCTGGCTTTGCACTGCCCACGGGCTGCTGAGAGGAGGATGGTCGCGCCGGCTGCAGTCCGCTCTTCTTGCAGTCAAACACCGAGCAACTTTCTGCTCTTAAATTGTTTCCGTGCACGATGTATTGCATTGCGCACTATTGGCATCAGTCTTAATAAAGTGAAGCCACACTTTTGACCTGGGGGGCATTTTAAAGGGGTTCCATGACGCTCGCAACCAGTTCACAACAGATACACATGAACCCTGGCTGTAGGCGTGACCACCTGTCTATTTTTCCTGGATGACGCAATCACGTTAAGTGTTACAGCCAATCACCGAAACTTGGTACCGAAAGACGAGGCATGTTTCGATACTCTGTAGAACCGAAGCATTTCGGTCGGTACCATAAAAGAACCGAAGTTGGGTAACCAGCCCTAGTTGGAACTCATTAATATTTATGATGCTTTTTGAACAACTTATCATACTGAGGTTAGTTTCCAAAATTCTAGGATTTGTTTGAGAATTTAAGTTTTTTCTAAAATAGCATAGAGTTTCCCAGTTAATATGGGCTGTGCCTCTTACTTTCCTCCTCTCATAAACCATTTTTATCCAAACTCTGGGAAACAGAATCTCATGTTTCATTAATGTTGAGGCCGTTTATCTGTGCATATGGTTATTTGAATAGGCATCTGGAAATTGTGTGTGTACCAGACAATATTTCTGATTGTCTGACAGTGAAGGAAAAAAGGTGTTTTGTTTTTACATGCAGGGAGTGAAAATATCGTTTCATCTCTAAATATGTAAAATATCCATCGATTAAGGAGGATCCAGGCCCATTAGGTCAGAAAAACAATCACCTGTATGACTCCAGATTAATGCATTTAGGTTTCAATTTTGTCGTTTTTACTGTTCTGGGTTTAAGGATCATATATGGCCCCATAATATCCTCCCTTTCTTGACGGTAAAAAGCGTACAAAAAGAGTACAAGGTGTCTGGAAGCGGAAATAAAGCAGGAGTGTGAATCAGGTCGTTGCTGACTCATTTTACACTGTCTGCTGTAAAACAAGCAGACCTTTCAGGAAGCTTGTGACCAAACAGCACAAACACAGGAGGCAAAGGTTCTCAGTGTTGCAAACAAGGAAAATCTCCATGCTCACTCCCATCCTTCCCTGCTGTGATGTCCAGTATGCTTCCCAGAAATGACCAGCACATTGCTTTATTGACTAGTCTCTCTGAGCAACCTTTTGCACTGGGTGTGTGTACTGACTTATCTGTGTTTCCTGGCCCCTTTATGCTTCCCAGTACAGCACACATTCGCATTGCTTGGATTTAGATGGTCTGATTGGGGATTTCCTCTTTACTTTCCTTGGAACTTGTTTTGCTTGAATGGGAAAAATTTAACCCATTAAGTTCTTGAGTAAATCTTTTGCATATTGTCTAAGAAGCCTGAAATCTAGCAAAGAGTTTTGATGATTAAAAAGCCAAGTCTTGGTTCACTTGAAAATACGGATTTGCTGTTTTATATGGTCGGCTGTCTGCTAATTTTGTAACTCTGCTGATGTTTTGTTCTGTAAATGCCTGTAATTACCCTGACCATTATACCAAACAGTTTATTTAAGTTTTCCTTTTTCTACATTCTCCAGTTCTTCGTGTCTCATTACTGTGCAGACAAAAGCAATGCACACCCCCTGTTTGAAGGGTGACATCTCGTGCAATGACAGCTGCTATTTTTCCATTGGCTTATTGACCTGCGGTTACATTTCTGTTCCAGAACAATAGGCGGAAGTAACCCTGGTACAGCTTTTTTAAAAGGGCCCCATTGGACA